AGTTTTACAGAAAGCTCTCGGACCTCCTCCAAAAAGCTAGGCGCTCTGATATAGTAATAATGGCTGGTGACTTTAATGCTCAATTAGGTAGACTAAGTGAGCAGGAGAGACACCTAGGTGGATGTTATGGTGTCGCGGCTCAGAGAACAGACAATGGTGACCGTCTGTTGCAAGCATGCTCAGACAACCGCCTATTCTTAGCAAACACTAACTTTAGGCATAAGGAAAAGCATCTGTTGACCTGGCGACCTCCAAAGTCGTCTCAACGTTGGACTCAACTAGATCACGTCGCCATCAGCCACCGATGGAGGGGTTCGATAGAGGACTGTCGCTCGTTCTGGAGCACATGTCTAGATTCAGATCATGCCCTAGTGCGAGCGCGTATTTGTTTGAAGCTTACTGGGCGTAGGAAAGACACCGTAAGAAAGCCTCTTAGGGTTTTACTTAATGATAATAAGGCGAAAAATATATTTCAGGAACAACTAGAAAGACAGTTAGGCGACCATTTATGCGATTCCCATCCGGAAGCAGGATGGAATGATATCAAAAAGGCTGTGGAAACAGCAATGGTATCTGCTAGTAAAGTTGACCATAAGGCTAGAATGAAACCGTGGATCTCAGCAGCGTCCACCGATCTGATGGATGCCCGAAAACTCATCCCACCTGGCTCTGAACATGATGAAGAACGAAGTCAACTTAGGCGCAGACTTATAAAAAGCCTACGTAACGATCGCGAACAGTGGTGGGTGGCGAAAGCAAAAGCGATGGAAAAGACAGCGGCGATCGGCAACACTAGACAACTTTTCCGACTTATCAAGGAAACTGGTATTAGGAATCCTAGTGTAAGTGAGACTACCTCAGAAAATGACGGGACTATTATTTATTCTCAGTCCAGGAGACTGGATCGATGGGCAGAACACTTTAGGGATGTTGTAACGGTTGCTTACGATATTTTCCGGCTAAATCTTATTGCTTAGTATTCTTGACACAAGACACTGGACAAGTAACACAAATCAGAACACGGTTGAACAGGAAGGATTGTATTCCAAAATAGCAAGGAATAAGAAGCTGGAGGTGATGGCAAAAGCCAAGGCAAAGAAGGCTAGAAGGCTAGAAGGCAAAGATAAATACAATGCTAGTCTATTTATAGCCTTTACATGAGAAAACTTCTGGAAGAAAATTCACGTGATCGACTGGGCTGGATTTGACCAATCAGCATGCAGCTAATAATACGAGAATTTTCTATCCTGTTCTCCAAGCTTCGATCAGGCGCTGATTGGATAGGAAATTAGCCAATCAGCGCGTAGTGACGTAATCACGCTTTAAATCCATCTATGTCCCACTAACACCTCCCCTTTGAGAAGATTCGTAGGATCTGGCGCTAGGGTCCAACTGCAACCGAGTGACTGGCTTGTACTTTCGATTACTCCATCTTCTCGGCAATAACGAAGTTGTGTCACTCTTTGCTTGCACAGAAACTGACTTGTGTGTTCCAGGCGTTTTGATTTCGAAGGTGTCTAGCAGAACGTCGAGGGGTATTCTGTGCCGAGTCCCGTTGCTGGCTATCGAAGTTGCTTTCAGTTGGTTAGCATGACGTACCCAAACTTCTGAGCCAACTGACACCTCATAAGTCACATTCCCTTTCTTTTTTAAAATCCGACCAGCTGTCCATGCAGGATGTTTTCCACGATAGTCCATAGCAAGTACTTTCTGGCCCACTGTGAACGATCGTCTTTTTGCCCCATGGTGTCGATTGAACTGCTTCTCCATCGACAGGTTTCGCTGAGGCTCAAGAGCTGGTGTAGGACGGATGACATCAAAATGTGTTCGTAATTTTCTACCAAGTAGAGCTTCCGCAGGTGAGACTCCGTCAATCGTCTGAGGGTTCGGTGTAGAGCGATAAATAAGCAGGAACCTCTCTAAGATCTCTTCGGTGGTCCCCTCCCCTTTGGATTTTTTTAGGGCATTTTTAAATGTGCTCACAAAGCGTTCTACTTGGCCATTTGATTGCGGATGGAATGGAGGTGTTCGGACGTGACAGATTCCGTTCTGCCGGCAAAATTGCGAGAAGACTGCGGACGTAAACTGTGTCCCGTTGTCAGTAACTATCAATTCCGGGACTCCGAAACGACTGAATAGTTTACGTAATTTACTGACTGTACAACTTGCAGTTGGGTGTTTCATCAAGAAAATTTCTGGCCACTTACTGTATGCATCAACTACCAAAAGGTAAGTTTGTCCATGAAGTGGACCAGCAAAGTCCAAATGTATACGCTGCCACGGTGACTGTGGTATTGGCCATGATTGCAACTCTGCTTTGCGCGGTGCTTTTGCTGCTAATGCACATTTGGTACGTACAACTTCGTACGTATGTACATAAGTTCAGGTTGCCATACCACATTGGCACAGAGAGGCAAATGTCAAATCAAATTCAATAGTGATAGAGATAGTAGAGGTATTATTGGTAAATGAGGAAGACTAGGGTTTGAAGATATTATTCAAGAAGTATAATTCAGTGAGATAATGTTAGCAAGACAAATGTAGAGGTGCTAATGAATCCAGAAGATTAGGATTTGAGAGAGCACAACGAATGGATGCACTTGCGCCATTGCTAACGATTCTAAGCCATGTCGTTCAACGTTTCCCGACCGTAGCTACTACCTTGACGTGGTGGTCGGGCTTGCCTATCGTGATGACCCAACCGAGCTATACTGGCTGGAACACATCTTCCTGCAGGTCCTACCATGCCAGGCAGGTCGATTGGAGAACGATGAGACTAAAAGCAGCTACCCAAGGTCTGAGGGCGAAGTCGTACTGCTGACTGCAGAGGGGGGTGATAGCAGTAAGGTGTTTCCCTCGGACAACCAGCATCTGCAGCGATGCTGCCTTCTCACAAGGAAGGAAGGGTTAGAAAAGGTCGGCCCTAAAAATGTCACACCTCCCCTAGCTCACGGATTTCCGTCTCCTTGGGTAAGGGTGCCCACTAAGGGCCTTTAAGAACGGAGCTAATCCGCAAAAAACATTTCATAAAAAGGCCGTGCGTGACCGGCCTCAAGCAGTTGTCCCTTGGGCTCTGCGGTCACGCGCCAACACTAATCTATCTTCCTTTTCAGGTTCCTCAAGAAACAACCTTCCACGGTGTGGGCAGCCGGGAAGTGACAACCGCCCTCATACCCGTAACAGCACGCGAGACCAAATTGGTCAAAATCAAATCCTTCCTACACCCCCTTGTACCTCTCTTATCTCCACGACTAACTCTTCTCACATTCATTCATCACAATGCACAGCTAATGCAGACGATACGAGTTCGCGAAACGTCGTTCCTGGTCTCCTTAAACCTCGCTCTAGACTACATGTTGGAGCATTTAATGTACGGACATTGTGTCAAATAGGGCAACAGGCTTCCTTAGCTAGGACTTTAGAAACTCGTGCCATCGATGTATGCTGCGTCTCGGAAACGTGCATACAGGATTCTAGTAAAATTATTAAACTGATTTCACCTTGTCAAAAAGAAGCAGCTCGATTTACTCTTCGTGTATCCGGTAGCCCTGATGCTGCTTCCCGGGGTCTTGCTGGCGTAGGCATAGCATTGAGTCGTAGGGCAGAACAATCTCTCCTTGACTGGATCCCAATAGATAGTCGATTGTGCGCTGTCCGACTAAACGGGACAGTAAGGACTCGGAAAGATAGGGACAATCGCCGTTGCCTCTTCATCGTATCTGCCTATGCCCCCACTGAATGCAGTTCAGACGAGGTTAAGGATGAGTTTTACAGAAAGCTCTCGGACCTCCTCCAAAAAGCTAGGCGCTCTGATATAGTAATAATGGCTGGTGACTTTAATGCTCAATTAGGTAGACTAAGTGAGCAGGAGAGACACCTAGGTGGATGTTATGGTGTCGCGGCTCAGAGAACAGACAATGGTGACCGTCTGTTGCAAGTATGCTCAGACAACCGCCTATTCTTAGCAAACACTAACTTTAGGCATAAGGAAAAGCATCTGTTGACCTGGCGACCTCCAAAGTCGTCTCAACGTTGGACTCAACTAGATCACGTCGCCATCAGCCACCGATGGAGGGGTTCGATAGAGGACTGTCGCTCGTTCTGGAGCACATGTCTAGATTCAGATCATGCCCTAGTGCGAGCGCGTATTTGTTTGAAGCTTACTGGGCGTAGGAAAGACACCGTAAGAAAGCCTCTTAGGGTTTTACTTAATGATAATAAGGCGAAAAATATATTTCAGGAACAACTAGAAAGACAGTTAGGCGACCATTTAAGCGATTCCCATCCGGAAGCAGGATGGAATGATATCAAAAAGGCTGTGGAAACAGCAGTGATATCTGCTAGTAAGGTTGACCATAAGGCTAGAATGAAACCGTGGATCTCAGCAGCGTCCACCGATCTGATGGATGCCCGAAAACTCATCCCACCTGGCTCTGAACATGATGAAGAACGAAGTCAACTTAGGCGCAGACTTATAAAAAGCCTACGTAACGATCGCGAACAGTGGTGGGTGGCGAAAGCAAAAGCGATGGAAAAGACAGCGGCGATCGGCAACACTAGACAACTTTTCCGACTTATCAAGGAAACTGGTATTAGGAATCCTAGTGTAAGTGAGACTACCTCAGAAAATGACGGGACTATTATTTATTCTCAGTCCAGGAGACTGGATCGATGGGCAGAACACTTTAGGGATGTTGTAACGGTTGCTTACGATATTTTCCGGCTAAATCTTATTGCTTAGTATTCTTGACACAAGACACTGGACAAGTAACACAAATCAGAACACGGTTGAACAGGAAGGATTGTATTCCAAAATAGCAAGGAATAAGAAGCTGGAGGTGATGGCAAAAGCCAAGGCAAAGAAGGCTAGAAGGCTAGAAGGCAAAGATAAATACAATGCTAGTCTATTTATAGCCTTTACATGAGAAAACTTCTGGAAGAAAATTCACGTGATCGACTGGGCTGGATTTGACCAATCAGCATGCAGCTAATAATACGAGAATTTTCTATCCTGTTCTCCAAGCTTCGATCAGGCGCTGATTGGATAGGAAATTAGCCAATCAGCGCGTAGTGACGTAATCACGCTTTAAATCCATCTATGTCCCACTAACACCTCCCCTTTGAGAAGATTCGTAGGATCTGGCGCTAGGGTCCAACTGCAACCGAGTGACTGGCTTGTACTTTCGATTACTCCATCTTCTCGGCAATAACGAAGTTGTGTCACTCTTTGCTTGCACAGAAACTGACTTGTGTGTTCCAGGCGTTTTGATTTCGAAGGTGTCTAGCAGAACGTCGAGGGGTATTCTGTGCCGAGTCCCGTTGCTGGCTATCGAAGTTGCTTTCAGTTGGTTAGCATGACGTACCCAAACTTCTGAGCCAACTGACACCTCATAAGTCACATTCCCTTTCTTTTTTAAAATCCGACCAGCTGTCCATGCAGGATGTTTTCCACGATAGTCCATAGCAAGTACTTTCTGGCCCACTGTGAACGATCGTCTTTTTGCCCCATGGTGTCGATTGAACTGCTTCTCCATCGACAGGTTTCGCTGAGGCTCAAGAGCTGGTGTAGGACGGATGACATCAAAATGTGTTCGTAATTTTCTACCAAGTAGAGCTTCCGCAGGTGAGACTCCGTCAATCGTCTGAGGGTTCGGTGTAGAGCGATAAATAAGCAGGAACCTCTCTAAGATCTCTTCGGTGGTCCCCTCCCCTTTGGATTTTTTTAGGGCATTTTTAAATGTGCTCACAAAGCGTTCTACTTGGCCATTTGATTGCGGATGGAATGGAGGTGTTCGGACGTGACAGATTCCGTTCTGCCGGCAAAATTGCGAGAAGACTGCGGACGTAAACTGTGTCCCGTTGTCAGTAACTATCAATTCCGGGACTCCGAAACGACTGAATAGTTTACGTAATTTACTGACTGTACAAC